ACAAGATGTATAATAGAATGCATTTAGTGAGACTAAACAGAATCTTTGGTTATTATAATTGCTTGATATTTTATAGCAAGAATGATTATAGATTTAACTATATAAGGATTTGGTTAGTGTACCAGACATTAATATAAATTTATTTATTGATAGCCTCCTATCCTCACAAATTGGTAGCAGAGCGTGGTTGGCTTAGTGTATCCGTGGTTTGGCTTAGTGTATTCGTGTGAGACTATCGAATATCGTGAGAGTTTGCTTGAGCATTAAAAAGACGCATTTTCAATATGGCTGAAAATTGGAATTTGAGTTGTGTGGAACCGCTTGACGACACGAATTATTTCCTGTGGAGCGAAAAAATAGAAGGGCAAAGAAACTTTGGAAAAAAGTAATGAATGTGAGGCCAACAGACAAACCAGAAGAAGATGATGAAAGATATGCGGAAAAATTTAAGCTATGGAATGAATGGGACGATGATAACTACGCCGCACGTACAGTCATGGTAAACACGATGAGTAAAGCTCAATTATTGAAGTACAGTCACGAAAAGGATGCAAATAAATTATGGAATCTAATTAAAAACAATATGGCAGTGGAAACTGAGCAGTTGAAGGCGAGATCATTAAGTGAATTGACAAATCTAAAAATGAATAAGGACGAAAGTGTAGATGCGTACGTTAATAGAGCGGAGGCTTTGAGAAACCAATGCGGACAACTTGATAAAAACATAGAGGATTACGAATTGAGGATGTATATTATACGAGGACTAAAATCTGAATTCGATCAGAATGTACGAGTGTTTGAAACACAGAGAGAGCTAACCATAAATGATATAAGATATGCGTTAAAACAAGAGGAAATAAGTGCTTTAATTGCCAGGGATACAATCACATCGCGGTTGATTGCAGAGAACAGAAGAGAAACGTTTCACGTGGAAGAGGATTTAGAGGAATCTCAAGAGGAAGAGGAAGAGGACGTAGTCAAGGATATAATGAAAGTACATTAAAAACTACAGATGAAGCGGTATTAATTGTAAGAGATCGAGCACACGTAAGTACAACAAAAGTAAATAAAGAGCCTGAGCATGAAATAAAAAAAGGTTATATATGGCTATTAGATTCAGGTGCAACAAGTCATATGGTAAGCAATAAAGTCGTATTTGATAATATAGAGGACGATACAAGAGACATTACCTTGGCTGACAAAGAAGGAAAAAAATTAACCTCAGATGGTCGAGGTGAAATAGTAATAAAACAGAATTTTAATAAAGATAGGATACGGTTGAAAAATGTATTATGTGTACCAGACATTAATATAAATTTATTTATCGATAGCCTCCTATCCTCACAGTTAGTACATTTTTGGTTGGATACTTACAAAATGTCTAGTCATATTAATTGGGCTAAAAAAAGTTTCGCTGACCTAATTAAATAAATTAATATCATTATCAAAGAGTTTTCTAGTATATTTAATAGAAGAGGATTAATCATGTTCTTTTAGTAATTTCTAAAAGAAAATTTGATTTGTTTAGTCTTGCAACAGATATTGATTGAATTTATCAGATTTCAAACTTATGGATTAAAATAAATTAGAAATCTATTTTGTAACTTTTAACAACTGTAACTGTAGTACTACAGTCTCGTAGCGCAACTTTTTTACCATGCCACTATAAAACCTAATGATATCTACAAGTTACAGAATAAGCTTCTTAGAATAAATGGCTCATAAATTAAAAACCTTATACTGCACTACATAAAAATCTAGCAGATTTTTTCTAGCATTATTTTTCTATTAAGATCTTTACTAATAAATCTCAAATAGCGAAGAAAAATGTTGTAGCAATTCAAAGAAATTATATCGTTATTTATTCGATTGCTGGATCTGGAGGAAGATAATTAAGAAATGAGCGCAAAAAGTCCCGTACGTTTTTGTTGGAGAGAAATTGCAGGAATTCTCAAGAAAATAGCAAGTTAGGAAATCCGAGTAGTTTATAATAAAAATTGTTTGTAAATCGTTCCAATAATTAAAATTAAATCACTCCAATAATTTATTTTGATGAATATTCGATTGTCTCAAACAAAAATTTAAGAATTCAAGAATTCGTTTTAAATACTAATTTAAGAATTTAAGAATATTGTGTACTATTAATTTTTGTCATCTTTCTTTTTGCTTCTAAAAAGAAATTGTAAACTATTTTCACGTAACGTCTTCAATTTTGCATATTATCTATACGCGTAGATATAAAATCTTTTTGTATTTCTACATAATGCATAATAATCGAATTGATACATATGCATGTAGGATAAAAAAACTTCTTTGTAATTGAGATAATCATGGATAAAAAATGTTTTCCTTTTCTCATATCTTTTTTCTTACTTTTAATAAATACAGGATGCATGTATAAGTAACAAATATGAATATTTTATTCAAACGTTAAGTTACCTCGTTTAAAAGTTTTCAATTTACAATAGCTTTATCATATATTTTTAATTTATTACATATAAATCCAAGAAAAACATTTTATATATATAAACATATTTTATATACAATTATATAAAATGTCAATTTTTTATGTACATTATCTTTATATTGCTTTGCTGCAATAGCGATATAATTAAAAAAATAAAATTTTTCAGAAAATGAATTGGACTATTTTGAGTAATTGAAGTGTTACAATATTAATTTTGAAATGTAATTTTGTTATAATAATATTTGTTATAATAATTGTAGAATGTAGAAGATTAGTCTATCAATTTTTTTTCTTTTTCTTTGCGTTCTCTTTCAGCAACTTTAAAATGATAATTTCCAAGTTGAACGCGATGTTACGTATCTTATAATTATAATAAATATTATGTAATATATAAAATACAGTGTGTAGTAATAGTAATAAATTATAATATAAATATAATATATTCTTACAAAATAAATTGTTAAAATATTAACATTTTTTCATAACGAAAGAAAAAATATTAAACGCTAAAATCACTTAAATTGCAGTCATTAGTAACACATTGTGCAATGGTGCATAGTATTATCATCGCAATTTTGAAATTATGAAAGTGCATCTCCGATAAATGTCTGTTATGCGATCATATTTGTTTCTGATACACCTGATCTAATAAATGATTAATTAAATGTAAACTGCAACAAAACGACACGAATAACGGAAAATTGCTCTCGAAAATGTGATGATATAAATTCAAAAAGCTTGATTTCACAATTTTTTATGATTTCGTAAAGCCAATAGATATTGTTATAATTGCAAAAAACTCTATTTCCGCTTATTAAAAAATATTTTTCAGACACAGAGGGAGTTAATAAAGTGAACACTCACGTTTGATGTTACAGCACATTGCGAATTTGTTTTAAGCTCGTAGTGAAGAATGAGTGTGTCAAAATAAATAAACGGACAAACTGTCTATCGACGTGCACGACTGAAGCGCGCGTTAAGAAGAACGAACGAAAATGTGAATGGTACTCGGCCGCTCACTTGTCTTGTACAACGTGCCAATGTACGAGCGAATTTAGAAAGTTGATACAAGAGTGATATTCAACCTTTTCAATTCGTTCGGGTGTCGATTCTGACAGTATTTTTGCGCATTTTACACGCTTAACGTTGATGATGAGACGTATATCTAATATAAACTGAGAGTACTCAGCGGAAAACATAGTGATAGCAACTATAACACAGTACGACAAAAATCGATTTTTTTTCCTCCCATGAAAAAAATCAAAGAGATTCTGAAAGGAGATGTAAAAAAAAATACCCGAGTCTCAGCGTTTTACCAGGTTTCAAATTGTTAACGTTTTTTATGCAGCTATTTATCGTATTTACTTCATATTGGTGTTTTAATTTTTTAAAGTAATAATTGACATTTTTGCATGTGAAATTATGCGATGAGTCCGAATACAAAAAAGAACTGAGAATTTTTTTTTTATATATTTTCAAATTTTTGTTATTATTATACAAAAATTTGAAAATATATAAAAAAAATTATTCTCAGTCGTTTTTTTTTCATATTCGGACTCATCGCATAATTTTACATGCAAAAATGTTAATTATTTATTTAAAAAAATTATTATTTAATTTAAAACAACTATAAAGAGCCAATATGGACGAAAATGATAAATGGCTACATAAAAAACGTTAACGACTTGATCTGGTAAAACGCCGAGACACGGATATTTTTTTTTACATCTACTTTCAGAATCCTTCGATTTTTTTATGGGAGGGAATGTGTGAGATACTGTGTAATAACGCTTAATGTATAATTGAAGAGCACAGACAATACGAACGGGGAATAACAAATTTTAATCTGTTAGAAACTATATATACCAGAATACAGTTTCTGATAGACTGAAATCTGTTATTCTCTGTTATTCTCTGTTCCTATTGCTTGTGTCTTTTAATTATGCTTAAAGATGACAAGTTTTATTGGAGAATTAATATACACGTAAGTTAAATTATTTTATTGAATTAACGTGCACATAAATAAGTTATTTTAGTTGCAATAACTATAAAATAGTTTATTTAATTATTTTTAGAGCTGGTATCGACTGAATATATATATATATATATATATATATATATTCAGTCGATACCAGCTCTAAAAATAACTTGATATCAGTGTTATAATTAATTTGTACTCAACAATATAAATAAAAGGTAATAATATAATTATAACACATAGTGTTACGTAACACTTATATTGTTGAGTGCAAGATTATAACAACGTTACTTTTAGCTGGCATCGACTAGGTAAATTAATTCTACAAGTAGAATTATTCAGTCTATTATATAAAAACTGGTTCAGTTATTTTGATTGTTGCCATCTTTATTGTTGCTATGTGACTTTTTTCTGAGCATAGATTTCCTTTATATGTTTTTTTTTTTTTATAAAAAGAACATGAGATATTTATTCAACAGGACGTGCAGAGAAGACTTGAGAGAATCGCGCAGTCTCAAACATGCACTTTCGTTCAGGTAACGGTTTTGTACTCACTTTCTAACAATGGTGCCATGATGCGCTGGGCGATTTCCGCACTATCAGCTGACAAGTACGTAACTCGAGGACCCGAAACTTTCAAAACGTTCGAACACGAAATCAATTACGGATGCTTGGCGTTTCAGACGATCCGAGCGGCATCAAAAAACGCTCGGAAATGCGGCTGGCGCTATCCGGCATTCACTCTTATACGTAGTATAAAAGTCTTCAGGGTCAGGAAGGTAGGCAGTAAACGTCGATTTTGCACGAGCGCACGACGACTTCGTTACTCGCATGAGAATATGATTGATATATAATTTTATTGTCGCTGCCATTAACGCTAAACAGAACGCGATGACGATGCGGTATATGGAAATAAAATAATAATTAACTTAATGTCATATACGATGAATATTACTGATTAATTGAATTAATGGGACGAGTTTCACATATAAATATTCAATTTTAATTGTGAAATACATCGATCAATATTAATAAGCAATTTTTTTTTGTACTATGTCAATAAATTACAGAATTATTATTGCAAAGAAAAAATATTTTTCTATAAAAAAATATAAAATTAAGAAAATTTTTTGATGTAAAGGGACATTTCAAATTAATGTTGTACGAAATAGTTGGGAATGAAAAATTGTATCGTTAGTGTTTAGATTGTAATCACGCGTATCAATTTTAACAATTGCCATCCATGGTAACTGTGAGAAATATTAATACCATAAAAAACGCTATTTAATGCAAATACAAATTTAAATAATTGTTTAGTTAGCATAAATATTAATTTCAATAAAGAGTATCAGGCTGCTCCTCGCCCTGATGAAGTGGACTGCAAGGCCCACGAAACGTTGGCACATCAAGAATGGATCAAGACATGGAGAAAACCCGCGAAGCACAGATTAGTTATATAGAAAGCACCCATGGAAGCATCAAGAAAATTGTTGTGTTGATGAGTGTGAATATTAATTATTTTATAAATTATTTTATAAATAATAAATTAGTTGCAACTATCACACAATCTTTTATATAATAAACATTTAAAAAAGAATTTTTTTTTTAACAGAGAAGAATTGTTAAAACCCTATTATTTGAGATATTTTATGTTATACAGGGTTGGCCATATTCGACGGAAAGATGTTTTTTTTTTCAATCATGGGAAAAGAATACATTTTTTGCTGTTCATTTTAAAAATCATTTAATAGGGTTCAAGGAGATTTGCCAGATCTTTCCGTCGATTATGGCCAACCCTGTATTTTTAGTCACTAATTTAAATGTAAATTTATATTGAAATTCGATTGATATTTAAAACACTTATATATAGTTTTATGCTTAATTTTTTGCTAAAAAATAAATTAACTCATTAAACTTTCATAATATTCGATATGAATATTAATATAAGTTTTATCGAATCAAATCGTACTTCTTAATTTTCAAAAATATACTTTCTTTAAAAATAATAAATTTAGAAATGAAAATAATAAATGATATAGTTGCGAAAATTTATACATTAATAATAAATAAAAAATTATGTAACAGAATAAAATAGAGAGTAACTTGAAAATAACTCGAAAATTAATGCTTGAATTCTAATTTATATTCGCTACTAAGCATTTAGGTTATATCACAAGTTGAATATACTTAATTATTTATAACATATATGTATAATGATTTAGTCATAACATAATAAATAAGTGATAAATAAATATGAGTTGTCACACATCACAGCAATACAATTTAAAAACCATCATGATTCTATTTAAGAAACATAAATTTTATAAAAATATTGATTTTTAGTAGTAATTTCTATAATAATTGTAATATAAAATATAAAATTACCTAATAAATCTATTTTTATAAACATAAAAATGCAATAAAAAACTACAATATCAGAATATTATCATAAATTGTTATTAAAAAATTACATTAATTGTATCTGATTTATAAAAGTGTCTAAATATACATAAAATAAATACATAATTTTAAAACTTTTGTCTATATTATTTGTGTTTTATTTATTACTTTATATTTTTATTATTAGATAAATGTTAACTCCGGCAAATATGCCGCGCTGGGATTTACATTGCAGAAGTCAGAAAAAATAGAAGGAATGGGGATAATTTTCACATAATTACTCTGTTACATGCCTTTATGTTATATTAGTATTGTGTTATGATTTCAATTTCTTACTGTCAATAAATGAAATTATTTTGAGTTAAATCGATTTGTCACTATAATAGCATCATCATAAATTATAATCTACATAAAGTAATTGTAAACTGTAGGACTCATGAAAAACTTAGTGATTATTTCGTGATATATACATGTAGTGGAATAATAATGCATGTTATATAGCAAAATACAAGTGCTTTCGTATTTTTTAGTTTATTATTTTATATATCCCACCTGTTTGGAATATAGAGGAGACCGGGGATAGTAGACTCATCTTTCAGTTTCGAATTTTTACAGACGAAATTGAAAGACTTATCGAAAAAATAAACTCTACACCATTTACTACATACATTTGACTATCTAAAAGTTTAATAATAAAAGTTTTAATAATAAAAGAAAACTGATAACTAATATGAAAAGAAATACATTTTTCTAATGCATTCCATTTGATTGAACTAGCTCCAGGATCGAGGTTAGATGACTAATGGTATGAGGTAATTTGATTAACATTATTAAAATGAAGATTAATATATATTTAATCTTTACATACCAACGAAGCTTTCATAAAAATGTATTTTAAACATAAATATGTTTATAAAATTTTTATAGAAATGCATTTTAAACACAAACATATTTATAAAATAAAAAAAATAACTTTCTACTTTGTTATTAGATAAATAACAATTTATCTAATCCGAATCATTATCCAAATTACAGTTATAACAAACATAATACGATAAATTACCCTTTATTTAGAATGTATCTATATATGTTCACAAAATTATCCTTTTAATTATTCTTAATATGTTTTTACATTATTATTATTACTTCTATTACACTTAAAAGTAATGTTACAAAAGGAAGAAATATATGAACATATATGAACATATTTCATATACAATTATATATTTTTTGAATATTTATACATGTTATGTATAAATGATCATAAACATATATTATTTATTATATTATGTACGTTTATACATATTTATACATATTCATACATGAAAAATTTTTTATACATGTAATTTAACTATTATCTATTTTTATTATTAAAATTCATTAATACAAAAATTATTGCATTAGATGTATTAAAAAAAAAAGAATACTCTAAATTCTTTTGAGTGCAATTTCAAAGAAAGTGAAAATACAGTTAGTATAGAACAGAGTGAGAGCGTCTTGGTAAAAAAAGTTGATTGAGAAACGATTGAGAACGATAGGATCATTTTTATCAATTTGTATCGTTTTTCTGTAAGTTTGTATCTTTTCTATTGTTGACCTCACGATTGATCGGATATGAATCCCATTACATTTTATCGGATTTTATAAGATTTTATAAGATTTTACAAGATTTCTATAAGATCTGATTCAAATTAGTGAATTTATTTTTACAAATCATATTCAAAACAATAGGATTTTTCTATCGTTCTCTATCAATGTCTTTATCAGACTATAGCGAATGACAGATTTTCTAACGCAACAAACTTTAATGATTAATATTTTGATTCGACAATGCTTTTTTTTGCTAAATTCGTTTGTTTCGAGCAAAAACACGTTGAATAAGCCTAATTTTATCGAGATTGGACGTGAGGAAACCAAACTTATAACATTTACCACTGAGATAAATCTCTTTAGAGGAATGAAATATTGCCATTCTTTTTCAAGAAGTGAAACGTTTTCACTCTTTTTCAAAACTGACTGTATTTTCACTCTTTTATAGTGAGATTTCATTCCAAGAAGTTTAAGAGTAGGTACTATCAGAGTCATTAAATTAGTTATATAGCTTCGTGTTGTGGTTAGCTTATTAGCCCCCCATCCATCCATTTTTTAAAAATATTAATATTATATGATAACAAAGATAGATAAACAAAAAAAATCTGTTGGACTTTATTAAATGAGAACGCTTACTATCTAAGAACTACATTTATTATATACGATTGTATATACAGTTATACACGATTGTAGAACAAAAACTTTAAGAATAAAAATATTCACTTACGTGTATGATTTTTTAAAATTGTAGCATAATTTAATACAGACGCATCTGTCTCGAGATCTCACAGCAAATTGAGCGGCAGTCACCGTTACGTATTCAGACGCGTGTCTCGCGCAATTTGTTTATAACAGCTGCGTTTGGTAATGCAAATCAAAGTGCTCTTATATTATAGCATATGTCACGTATACTGTAGAAAAAGAGCACTCCGACGCCTCAGATTTGCATTGCCGAACGCAGTTACAATAGTCTCGATTATTCTATTTATCCGTATAATTTATTAACCCTGGTCTCTCCTACGACATTTTTAGCAGGCGGGATTTATGCCCAAAACATACAAAGTATGCAGATTGAATTCAATGCACTAAATGCAGTAAACGCATTATATATGAAATATATATCTCATGTCATAACACTTGTAATATATGTAGAAAGATTGTAATTATTATTTATTATTTTCTATACATATTTACCATTCTTACTCTATAATAAAATTTTATAAACACATTTTATAAGTTTTGTGTCATTTTACGTCTTATTTATATGCATTATTTGTAAATTTTTTATGAGCCATGCATACCCCTCTCTCCCCCTATGAGCCATATATCCCACCCCTGCGGCAAAAATGCATTTTAATACGAAAAATAAATATTTCGGATTTTTAATATTTTTTTTATAGTAGTAAACAGTACAAAGTTTTTACTGATATAGTTCGATTACTTTAAACATAGTAAATAATATTTAATAAATTAAGTTTTCGATGCAGTTTTAGGTGCAGCGTATATACCGGAGTTACTCTATATTTAATAAGAAAAAAGTGATAAAATATAATTTAGATATGCAGATACGCAGACAATTCTTCACTAAACAATATAATAATTATGTAATAAGGCAAGTAGTCAAAAAATGAGAAAATATGGATTTGATAAAAATATTGAACTATATTCAAAATAAATGAAAATGCCTTTTCAA